CCCCCACCCACTGCACAGCCCTGGCAACCACAAGCCCCCCAGGAAAGCACAGACAGGCCTGTGGTTCATTCTGGGCCTTCGGAGCCTCCAGGTCTTGCTGGGTAAGTTGGCCCCTCTGCAGCGCTCAGACCGGGGGAACACTGGGCCATGTTGACTGAGCTCCAGCGGGTAGGTAGGGGAGTCCACGGGCCTGCACCAGCTGCAGGAGGAGAGCGGGATGGGGCAGATGGACCAGCAGCTTCCTGGGGGCAGGGCCTGCACATGGCCCACTATGAAGTCGGAGGTTCCCGTTTCTACTTGAAACTCGAATCCCGGGGCCAATCTAAGCCCAGCCCAGGGAGCTGGACAGAACACCCCAGCAAAACAAGGTCCCAGGCCCTGAACACCAGCTGCGTGTGAGGTACAGACGTCGGGTCTTCAGGATCTTGCCCAGCAATGAAAGCCGCCAGGAGGGAGGGCAGGTGGGCACCACTGAGGTCCGTGCCCTGGGTCAGACACCAGGATGTGGAGGGCTTGGGGACCAGTCTCCTGCCTGCCCTTGTCAAGCAAGAGGAATGGGTCACAGTCCACGACCTACAGGACCTGAGGGGCTGGGGAGGACTTGTGTCTGAGTGGTCTCCGTAAGTCAAAGCTAGAGCTGGCGGTGGGGTGTGTGGAAGGAGGCACAGCAGGAGCCCCTCCCCACTGTCTCACCCTGGGGCAGGTGTTGTGGACTCGTCTTCCCCAGATCCTGACCGTCAGAGCCTTATACCCGTTCCTTAGCCTGTGACTGAACGCGGAGGCGGAGTCTTTCCAAAGGTGCCTAAGGTAGACCGAGTCTATTAGAGTGGCCCTGATCCAACCTGGCTGGTTCTTGTAAGTGATTAAGGGCTGGCCCTTACAGCCTAGTAGTTAAGGGAGCTGCATCCCACATGGCTGTCCAGAGTTTGAAACCCAGCACCAGCCGCTTGAAAAACACACTGGGCACGTGTGTGCACATGCCCCAGATCCCAACGGGGTGGGGAAATGGGAGAAGGGATTGCAGCATGACGCAACCCCTTGGGAGATACTCTCTCTGGTGAACAGACCTGCCTTCGGGGAAAAAAGGGGGCGGGGCTGAGGAGGGGACTACAACGCACAGAAAGACACCAGGGACATCCACGCAGTGGGGAACGGTCGTGTGAGCACAGCGAGAAGGTGCCAACTGCGAGCTAAGGAGAGTGGCTGCTGGAGACACCACACTGCCGACACCTTCATCCTGGATTCCTGGCCTCCAGAACTGTGAGAAACTCGACTTGTTTAACAGTTTCACAGTACTCGATAGCGCCGCCCTAGCAGACTGGTAAAGGGGTGCAAATGCTTCATACTTGACCCCTGCCCACCACCACTCAGGTGCTCAGTAAGTGAATGCAAGAAACCAGGAGGCTGTTCAGTTAATACTTTTAATTATGTGACTGGAATGATACAATTTCCACTAGTCAATATTCTGTATAAAACCAGTTACAATACACAAGAATTTTCAAAGGCGACAATGTGTATCAAACAACGTACATATGCAAGGTGTACAGGCCATTGTGAAGCTTTATCTTAAAAATACCTTCAGGAAAATAAACATTCATTCAACCAGTTCTCTAGGTTTTAAAAAATATGATTAGAAATATACATTTCAATAAAAAAAAATCAAGACAATGGTGGACCAAATACTGCCTCATCAGTTACATTTTAAAATTTTTAATAATCTGTACATGAGTGCAGGTTAGACAAAAGTCTGTAAATGGTTAATATAAAACTTCAGTCCTAGAATCAGATGAACGTGTCAGCTGACAGCTAACCCTATGGGGTAATTAGGAGGTAATATCCTACACAGTCTAGGCCAAGCGTCCAGTCTTTCATACTCATCTGCAGCATTTCCGCTTAGTGCCACCAAACGCTCAGACTTAGGTGACCTGGAAGAGCAGCTAGCCTCCCCAGGACAGGGTCAGTGGGAGGTACGGATTCAAGAAAGCAAAGATGTTCTCAGTTGTTTTCAATGAGCACTGCTTTTCAAAATGCCACCATTATTTTAAAAAATGTATGGAGAAGCAGTTGAGCTACTTTTAGAACAGACATCAAAGGAGCACAGTGCCCGTGAACGGTGACTCAGGCCAAGGAAAGGCTGCAGGGGCCCTTGGCATGACACCGCCCTCGGAGCCCACAGGACCCGTGGGACCGCGTGGCAGGCCAGCAGGGCTCCTTGAGTGACACTGGGGAACTCCTCTAACACGTGTGTGGGCCCAGGAAAAGAGGTAGAAATCCCCCCTGTAGGAGCAGGAGGGACGGGGAGGAAGTGTCTGGGTGACAGGCCAAGGGCCTCGAGCGTGGTTAAGGCTGCCTGTCTGCAGAGACCATCTCTCACACGGAGTCATCGTGGAGGTGTCAGCTCTACTTTTCCATCACAGACAGGAGTCTGTCTGGACTTCGAGGAAACCAGATCTGTGGACACGCTTCCTTTGGGCTGTCCCTGCCTTTGATGAAAATCTTCAAGGGCCACCTACAAATACTTACTTCTAATTTTAATTGCACTGGAAACCATCTTGGTGTAATTTCAAAGCTATTTAAGGCTCTTAAGCTCTCCATCTGACATGAACTGGTTCATACTCCATAGCAGCACGCTTTCTGTAACAAGGACTCTCAGGTTAGAATCCCAGGAGATGTTGGGTGTTTTGTGGTTCCAGTTTTGGGGGGGGGGGGCAGCCTACTCATACAGCAGAAAGAACTTTC